TAACAAGACAAAAGTAGCAATGGAAGGTATTTATTTTTTAGATGAAGGACCATTTTCATGGCATTTTCATGGGGGGGGGGCGGCATGGAGTTGAATGATAGCTGGACAAGGTTGCTATAAGAATTAAAAGTGTTCAGTTTCCCATTTCCTTGGGTACGTGTACCGGTGCTACCAGTAGTAGTCAAGACTTTTAGCCAATACTGAGTGATTATCTGTACAATGTACGTGTACCGGTGCTAGTAGTCAAGACTTTTAGGCAATATTGAGTGATTATCTATACAATGTACATGTACCGGTGCTAGTAGTCAAGACTTTTAGCCAATATTGAGTGATTATCTGTACAATGTACGTGTACCGGTGCTAGTAGTCAAGACTTTTAGCCAATATTGAGTGATTATCTGTACAATGTACATGTACCGTACGGTACATGTACATGCACACGGAATCTTCACGTTCACAGTTCAAGTGCATGCAGAGTACAGGATGCATGGTATCTGACCAGATCTTATTTTGTGTATATTTCGTATCCCATGAGATAAACGGTAGTACTGTACGTGTAGTGTGTTTGTAGTGTATAGTGACTGTCTGCATGTTCCGTACTCCGGGTACAGTGCAATGTGCTCTGGGGACCGTTGAAATGCCTGTGGGATTCAGAATAGTTGGTGTTCATACATTGTATGTGTGCATGCGTGCATGTGTTCGTGTATCCCCACCACTGTCCTTCAGTGGTGGAGTAGCCTCAAACCACAGCAACCTCACATCACTGTGGCCGATAGCGTCATTTCCAGTTTCTAAGCATGTTACTGGGCTTGCATAGCCTTGGCCATGCATCAATTTCCTTATTTTCACAAGCCCACCAGTGACAGGCTGCCCACTCCAGATGGTAATAAAGTTTCCGGCACAGGCCCACCTCAGCCCAGGATGATGTGGGCATCCCATGCGTGGGCATCCCATCAACACCACTTCAGTATCTACAGGAACAAGAAAGACACTGGCACTAGCGGATGACATCTGCACCCTTGACGAAATGCTTGTCAGTCTGTTGACCAATTGGTTCCATTGCTGGTGCAATATTTATGGGGACTTTGGTCTCTGGCGTTTCAGCATGTGGATATATATACAATTATTGTTTCCACTCCAAGGACCCATCTGTTCCTGAATTTAAAATTTAACAATTATTGCTACGGTGCATTGTTGGAGAACACGGTAATTCAACCCTTGGATGAGCGGTAGCAGGCAGGTGGTGTGTAAAGTACGGTAATGTCCATATGCCTGTTCTGTTACAATAATTAACACACAAAAGAATGACAATTTTCTTCCTGTATGTTCAGTATTGTCACTGTTAATTTTAGCGATTTCATTGGACTTTTACGCTTTGCATATTACGCAAAGATTTTGGAGCAGAAAGAAAATGTTAGCCATGAGAAGGGTTTAATGCTGAAGAAAGGGGGAGAGCCGCGTGCGTATTGTACCGTACCAGTATATGTGCAGATGTGAAAGATAAAATTCATGTACACATGTGTGGAAACAAATCCAAGGTTCCTTGAAATGCCAACACTTTCATCATTTGAAATGTTTAAATCCTCTTTCTTATGGGAATCTGGCGATAACACCCCCAAGTGCAGGAACAGTGCGTGTACATGTTGACATAAGTCTGAGGAAAATATGCCCCTCTGACTCAGATTTGTCATCTGAAACAAGAGCTTTAGGCAAATAATCCTGTCAATTTTCTTTTGGGGGGGGTGGAAGAGGGGAGATTTACACATACATGTACTGTACCTGCCCAGCCTGAAGATGCAATCAGCAGTTCCTAGACGGGGTTCTATAAACTAGGCAACAAATAATAACCACGTGCATGCCCTACGCTCTTCTGCAGTGCATGGGATAGACATGCTGTTGCCATAGCAACCCTCATCAGTTCGGGTTTTCTTTTTGTGTAGAGAATCGGGAACATGACAGAGAGAGAGAGAGGACGGTTCTGCCTTGATGCAGTCTGACTCAAACTGGCAGGATATAAGACATGGTCATTATTGTTGCCTTTTTTTCTTTTTACGACTTAGTACTTGTAGCCTCGACAACTTACTGGAGGGAAGTTTTTCTGAGCATGTGTACCAGTGTTATGCTATCAGTTCACTGTGGCATTATCAAAGATATGTAGATTTTTTTTTTTTGGTTGTGCATATGGATGTCTTAGAAATGTTTTGCCTTGTAATCCCACTCAGCGCAATAGACAACGTCGCACCTGTAAGCTGGCACAGGGCCGTTTGGAACTAAAGATCCACTCCCGCAGACAAGGATATCTTTTGTTCTCTTTATGTGCCTGTCCTCAGTGGTGCATGTAGGTAGATATGGTATGTGTGAGTACTGGCACAGTAATACCTGTATGGGTATCAATACGAGTGCTCATCTCTTTGTCTTCAGCTGCAGCCTTGCAGGCTTTACAATACATGTACCTGTACATGTGCCTCATGATGTCGTAAAGTGGAAGTGGATATATATCTTAACCCTAACACTCCTCAGTCCTCCAACAGGTGAAGGATTGAGGAGGGTTAGGGTTACCAAAACAGGAAATTGATTTTGAACTCAACTTCTGTAGTTAAGGATTTATACCCATCCGTGTACAGTTATTGCTTTTGTACCGTATGTTTACATGTACATGTACACACATGTATTTGTACATGTATGTGGTCTGAGTTCTAAATGTACATGTAATTCAAATTTTCAGTCCACGTATGCATGTACATGTATGTGTAATGCAGCTGTGTGCGTGATGTAGAATGCCATCTTTTTATACCGGTACGTGTACGTACAAGAACGTGCCAATTGACAATGACACTGGTAACTTCAATTCTAATGTAATGAATCAGTGCTTTTTGCCACTGTACCGGTACCTGCTGTTTTTGGGGGGAAGGTACATGTGCATGTGTATACACCTGCAATGTACTGGTATAGCCCATGTTTGATGTGCATGTGTATGCCCCATGGCCAGTACTTACATGTACATGTAAAACCCAACTGTATATGGTGACCATGGTAACGCTGTCACTGCAGCAGCAGTCCCTCTTACAGCTAGCTTTGTACTGTGGTAACAATTGTATGGAGCCACAATAGCTCTTCAGTGGCAAGTGCTCCATACAAATCCCAACATAATGCTTTTGCCACAAAAAGGGCAATTGAGTATACACATGTACATGTACTTGCACGTTAGGTACAGTACTGTACCGGTATGCCGTTTACGTTAATGGATTTGTACATGTACAAGTAGGTCTCTAATTTATCCCACACGCAATTTACAAGTCCAGATTATGAAGTACCGTACATGAACTAGTAAGAAGATACCAGTATCTTGTAGATGCAAGTGTACAATGTACATGTACAATGTACATGTACATACATCGTACATGTACGCGTTAGCTGTCTGGACAGGGTTGAAAGAAAAAGAAGGTTGGGTAGGAAAGCACTACAGGGCCTGTGGGTTTTGGCACACCAGGCAGGTGTTGTGCAGACATTGTTAAACAAAAATTGGCTGTAACATGAACTCACATTTTACACCAGCAATTTTCTACCTCTTTAACAATGTAACATTCACTGAGCACCTTTGCCGTGAGTCACTAGTGTACCTGAAAGCCTGAGCAAGAACTGTGAGTTCATGTTTTAGAGCCAGAGAAACTTTTTCGTGTGCAGAAAAATGAGTTTCTACACCGATGAAGCATTTAATTACCAACCTCCATGTGTAAATGCCATGCAGTTTGCCAATGCCTCAAGTTCGCAGTCGACTATTGCCCTGCATGTACTGGTATGTTGGTTATTTTGGATTTCAGTATTTCATTTTGCCCGTAATGTTCATAAAGCTACATGTATCTTTGTCGAGCAAGAGCTTTAATGACAAACTTTTTTTTTCCGGTTTTCCCCCGAGAAAGATATCCTGTTACTGCTGGATCAGAACCTCACACCCTTCTAACTTTTGCTGATAAGGAAAAAAGAAATTCTCATAATTCTTCAGCTGGGACCAACCAACAACCCTTGTGGTTATTATTTTTAGTGAAGGTTCATTCATTTGTTGACATTTATTCTGAACTCTCCAATAAACCAATAAAAAGTTGAGTAATATAAAGTACATGTTCAGTGCAGTGAAACTTAAGTACAGTGCATGTCACATAGAGAAAAACACAAAGGAAAGCACATGTACATGTACGGTACCATTACCACCAGTAACAATATAGTACATGTACATTAAAGCTAAACAAAGTACCGGTAATACTGCATATATAATGGGAGAGTATGCAAGGCGTTCACGTCAGCCAAGGCTTGTAAGTGGAACAGCCTGGACAAACCAGACAGGGTAATCACAAGGTGCCTCTTAGCCACACAAGTACATGTACACACAAGTACATGTACATGTACAGTACTTGTACCAGCTTTGCCATGTTTGCTGGCATTATGAGTTAGCTGGTCCTAATGATGTAACACAGCTTCCTTGGATACATCATCCTGATCATGGAGGAAGGAAACAATGGGCACACAGGAGCATAGTAAACGGTAGAGGCAGTGACAGATCTGTCTTTATGTACATGTACCACTTTGTTGGCAACTCCGTGAAGTTCAGTTAATGCTATACAGAGAGAGTAAATTGGCCTCAATTATCCATCATACACATCCAGTCCTCTGCCTCATGGAAATTAGTTCCCCATGCTGTTTTCTGTTACATGTATATCCTTTCTCCCTATGATCAGTGGCTGAATCAGAAATACAAGGGAACATTGTTGGGAGCCATGGCCCTGTGTGTTTCATTGTACGCCTGCATTTTAATGAACCATTGTAATGATGATCAGTACTGTTTTTTTTTTCATCCACACCTCATTATCTCAGCCACTCATTCTTGATCCTGATCAAAGCCCCTTCCTCAAGACCAGCAATTATGCAGTTGAGTGAGCACAGCAGCAGTGTAGCACCACCATGGCGTACTGAGAAGCTTACCATGTGGCAGGGTACAAATCATTCATATTGATTAGATTGTTAGTGAATGCAATTCTGACAATCCATTATAGCCAGTGCATTGGACCATAGTGTAATATAGACAGGCAACGGCTGATAAACACGAAAACTTAACTCAGTACCGAACATGTGCACGTACATGTGCACAGTGGATATACAGTATGCTGTTGAGCCGTCAAGAACGCAAGATTTGTAGAATCAAACTACTGTATAATACAACCATGTTGTTCTGACCATGCATGGCTGTTCTAACACTGTGGTACTGTGATGATTTACATGTATCATGATTGATGGTACATGTACAGTACATGTACACGTATGTAAGTACAGGAAGAAAAGTATTTTCATGAACGGTAAAATCACTGCACCCACTGGTGTATTTACATACATGTACATGTATATCGGTACATACATGTACATGTATATCGGTACATACATGTACATGTATATCGGTACATACATGTACATGTACATGTGTATCGGTACATACATGTATTTGAGTGGAGTTAACAAACTGTCAAATTTAAAAATTTTTTGGGGGGTCATGTTGGTGGGGACCAGGGAGTTAAATTTACCAGGACGTAACCTGTATCAAATAGTACATGGCGTGGTGTGTTCCCTTGGATGTACATGTTAAGCCTACGCTTTTTTAGTGTGCAAAGTATACTCTGGTAACAACATTTGTGATTTAAATTTCTCAAAGTGCATTACGTAATGGAATTAAACAGGCCTTACTGGAAGCTCTTTTAGCATGCGTCCTTCTGGACTCTCAATTTGCCACGTTTTTCTACGTGAATGACATGCTCACTGATGTGTATTCGTTTTGCTGAGTATTTGATAATTATGGCCTTCAAATCTAACATGCTAAATAAGATAAGAAAATCCTTGCTGGGCTAACCTGATACATGATTTTTATAAAAAGTCTTTGACGTACAGTATGGTGTACATGTACATGTATGTAAATTGATTGGAAGTGCCTTCACCACTTTAAAGTGTCAGCAGTGTTGATGGTGCTTTAATTAAAAATTATGACGAATGCAACTTTAAGCTCTGGCTATTTGCTTATTAATTAATTGCCAGTTTCTAGATGCTGGTGCATTTGAATTTATTGCAGAGAGCTCTGATTGTATGCCTTTTATAGTGCCATGGAGGCAGAACCACCTGTTTGCAGGATATGGTGCATACATGTATGTACACATGTATGCGTTGATGCCCCAATTTGTCCAGATGGGATATCATCTTCAGGTTGCATACTAGATGTCGCTCTGCCTGCTCCATTTGGTCCTCCCGAGCCTGCAGCAGTCCTGAAGATCTGCCCTTGAGGCAGAGATCTGCCCACATCGTCTCGTCTGCGCATCTCAAGCAGAAAATGGCTGGGATGTTGTCCATCACAAGACACGGGCTGTCCCTTGTGGCCTACTTGCAATATATCCCTCTCCCCCACACAAGCCTCGCCTTCGGATCGCCGGCTTGTCCTCAGTTGGAGATGATGGTGGATTGGAAGGGGGGAGGGAGGTAGAAATAGCGCGAGAGCCTTCGTGCAGAGGGTTACAATTTCCTTGCAAGGTCTTGGTCATTACTGTCTCAATACATCCAGTTGTGTCATCAGGCAGTTTATTTTTAATGGCAGGTGCTTGTTGAAATAAATAGACTACTGCTTACATTGTCTGTGGCTATTGTACATGTACATGGGTACACTTGTGCACACGATATGTGTGCAGACTAGTACCAATATTGCTCTTGGACAAATGCATTTATTTCAAATATAGTAAACAATAAACAGAAATGGTTTCAAACAGTTCTGTTAAGTGTTGGAAGTGCCTGGAAAATTGCTTTCTATCCCGTGCTACATGTATGTAAATTTGAAGCATTTTTTTGGGAGAATTCAGAAGTATTGAAAATGAAGTATGGAAACATTTTAAATTATAGGCAGGACATTGTGTCATTTTGTTGGTATTCTGGAATAGAAATTTACTTGGTCAGCTTTTTTGACTAATTGACAGAAAGAGAAAAAGAGCAGATTCATACAGTGTACTGAATCAATGCACCAGCAGCCTTCTGTAATGAATGACCTGTGAATTATCAGTTTAAAAGTACAGTGCCTTGAAGTTGACAAATACTGTGCAGTGTTTTCAAACGAGCTTTGAACGGCTGGTACCGGTACAGTTCCGGTTTCTTACACAAAAGGCATCGTGGTTCATTATGATGTACGTTTTAGAACAAATCTTGGCAGCAGTGCATGAAATCAGGCCCAACTACCGGTAGTTATCAGACGAAATGCATGAGCACAGTCATTTTTGTTTTGTCATTGTGAGCTTTTGATTGGACACCATGGTCCCTATCTAAGAACAAACACCCACAGTTGAGATGGTAAAAACTCCAACAGGATTTTGGCTTTTATGTGGGACTTTAATCTTTACATTTCTTTCGGACGTTTTGTCTGACCACATTTGCTGCTTGGTCCTGTGGACAGCCACCAGAAGTGGTTGGAAAATGACCGATGTCCAACTGTAATTTCATGCTCTAGTATTGAAAGGGTCTCCCTATTAATGCAAATCAGTATTCCAACTGAGGGTCATGCACGACCCATCACCCATTTATGTTTTGGCCTTTATTTAAAACACTGTAGTCTCCTTGACTGTCACGCTCATGTCCTGTGTTTTATTTGTCTTTCCCTTCAGGGCACTGATCACGAGCTGCTGGTGTTGATGGGGGACGATGACGTATTGAGAGCGGTCGGTCGGAGAGACAAGCAGGTATTGGCGTTGCCACACAGAGCAGGTTTGCAGCCAGGCGGAAAGGATGGCACTTACGTGTATGCTGCAGCGCACTGGTCCACAGTGCACGGACACAAGGATTATAGCATTTCAGTAAATCTGACTTGCCGGCGCAGGACTGCAGTTTTAGCGGTGTGCTCGCTTGGAGGATCTGGTAATTGGATAACATGAAGATGTACAAGATTTGATTGTCTAACACAACAGCTAATGAGTGGTTCTTCAGTACACCAAGGACTTGGCCCATTGTTGGGGCTTAATTAGAGGGCAATAATGGGAGCCAGAGTGTGGTGTCGTGCTTGGACCATCAGGCGAAGGTACAACAGCCTGCGCTTTGGCCTACTGGGAGGCATATTGGCCCTAGGATGCATGTTTACGTTATATTCTAAGTCATACCAGTTTGGTGTGGATGAGCAACATGAAGCACCTGTACACGGGAAATTCATATCGGTTGAGTACCAGCACGCCAATCTCTGGGATACTTTGCCCAAAAGTTGGAGAACTCGACATCTGCTGGTGGTGAACCAAACAGATAATGGGACGGCCAGACCGCCGCCCACTAGTGCTGCGCCAAGGAGGGGGATTTATCCGCCGGATTTGTTCACCCCAGAGCAGCTGAGGAGAGGGGCAGTCATCCTCCACTGCCTGGGCATGGTGTACATGTTTGTCGCCCTGGCCATTGTGTGCGATGAGTTCTTTGTGCCCTCGCTCGGAGTCATCATCGAGAAGCTGCAGATATCGGACGATGTTGCTGGTGCCACATTCATGGCAGCGGGCGGGAGTGCCCCGGAGCTCTTCACGAGTCTCTTTGGAGTTTTCTTGGCCGACAGTGACGTCGGCATTGGAACCATAGTTGGCTCGGCCGTGTTCAACATCCTTTTCGTCATCGGAATGTGTGCCGTTTTCAGCAAAACTCTTCTGAAACTCACTTGGTGGCCTTTGTTTCGCGACGTAGTCTTCTACAGTTGCAGCCTCATTTTTTTACTGATCTTTTTCAGAGACGCTGATATCGAGTGGTATGAGTCGCTAGTGTTGTTCATAATGTATTTCTTGTATGTACTGTTTATGAAGTTCAATGTTCAAGTGGAACGATTTGTAAAGTCAAGATTGAGCCGGACAGTTAAGACAATCAGTGTGGCAGAGCCGGTAGGTATAATTCTTGAATTCTTTCTTTTCACATTCTGTGTTCTTCAGCTTGGCAATGCAGACTATTTCTTGTTCCATACTAGTAGTTGTGGGGACATACATGCAGTCATGTACGTCCTTGTCCACTCGATATTTCACCTACATTTTGTGGGGACTGAAATTGTTATAAAGACAGAGAAATAACTCAGTCCTAATTTACCCAACAAAAGAAATTATCCCCTTAACCCAACATGTACATGTACCAGTACATTACGTACCCATGTAATGTACATTCCGTAGGCACAATCCATTTACATTGCACACCCACATGTACAGTGCACTGTTCTTTACATTTCACAGAATCATTATTTGCAAGGTACACGCACTGTTTCATTAGTAACCATAATACACTGTGCTTAGCTCCTAGCATGTCTTTAACTACGTGTACATGTATGTTCACAATAGAAAGCATTTGCGGACTGAATTATGAGTCTGTCGGAAGTTATGAAATTATCCATGAAATCCATTTGTTCTGTACCGAGGTCTTGTGGAGCCCACTTCCGCACAATTTTTTTTTTCTCCTTTCCTTTGAGAAAGGGGAGAACAAAAATCCTTTGATCAGACATGTCAGAGAAGAATACTTTTGACGTCAGCGAATTAAACAGACTGCATTGTCAAGTCTTGAATAGAATGCAGATTCCATTTGTGGCGGGCTCTGTATGCATTCACATTGAAACTTTTAAATTAATGGTGGAGAAGGACACAGGCGTCTCCTTGAATGTCTGGTGCATGCAGACATTTGTACTTGAACCCAGGATTATCCCTTCGGTCCCCTGCCCCCCCCAATAAATTTGACAAATGAAAGGTACAGTGTATAATTTACCAACATGTACCAGTGCATGTACATACATGTACATGTATATGTACGTCGATAGGTTTCCCCAGTTACATGCAAGTGGACACATACATGTACATGTACATGTAGTACATCAGATTTAATACAAATACCGGTATGTGGACGTACATGTACGTGTACATACTGTACATGTACCTTTTTACATGTAGTACATGCACCGGTACCCGTGTACTGGTACTGTACATTGTACAAGTACCAGTTTTCCCCTTTATCTTGGAATTGCAATGGTACTGTATAGCTCGTATGCACAGTGAGGCGGTACATGTACAATGTGCCAGTACCCTTTTTCTGTGCAATTTATTTGAAAATTAAAAACAAAATTGATATTCCATTCCTGTCAGTGTGTGAAGAAAGAGGAGTCAAATCAACACATGTACTGTACCTGTACAGTGTACATGTACATGCTACATGTACGGTACCGTACATGTACATGCAGCATTGAACTACATGTACATGTATGTGTGTACATGTACATGTACCAGTACGTGATTGACTTCCCTACACCTGTATCTGTTTAATTGGTTGTCCCACCTGGTAGAATGCAGTTGTCTCGCTTTTTTTCCCCGAAACTTTCACTGAGGATGGATATGATACGTGTACATGAACCTACAAATGTACATGCACGCTACATTATGTAAAAATTGACCAAGATGACACAGAATAAATGTTCATAAATAATACCAAATGAATACAAATTTTAAGCAATTTACTTAAATTTACATTCGTGGTTACGCTTTTAGCCAGGATTCATTAGGAAACTGACTGAGCAGAGCAAAAATGTGGCTCATCCCGGTCTAGATGGAATAACTGGCTACAGGTTTTGCAGTCGCGGCCACACATGGTTGGGGCAGCGCACATGTACATGTACATGTGTCTATCTTGCATTTGTATTGTGGAAAATGTAAGGGATGTCAAGATACAGTGGACTACAGGCACATGAGCTTTCATATTTCATAAACTATAAACCATAGGTGTTAAAATGTGCCATTGAGTGCTTGTTTGCTTCCTCTTGGAATTCCTTCAAAGTGCGAATAGTCTTACAGTAGGCCTACATGTACTGGTATATGGCATTAATGCTTAGAAACTCATGAATTTAATGAAAAAATTATAAAGTTGAAAGTTGATGTTTTAAGTTGTATTACCCTGTAGTACATGTACACATGTATGTACTGAGCACTCCTGTAATGTACATGTACTTGCAATGTGTAAGAAGTGAAGGGAATGATGGGTAGGGGTGGAGTAAGAAGTGAAGGGAATGATGGGGAGGGGGCGGAGTAGGAGATGGATAGGATGATGGGAAGGGGGTGGAGTAGGAAATGGATAGGATGATGGGGAGGGGACAG